CCAAAAGAACAAAAGCAACCGTGTTGGCACGGATGTGGGGATAAAGGTACTCTTCTTCACTGCTGGTGGGAATGCCAACTGGTTCAGCCCTTTTGGAAAACAGTGTGGACGCTTCTCAAAAAATTAGAAATTGAGCTCCCATTTGATCCAGCAATACCACTTCTGGGAATATATCCCAGAGATGAAAAAAAGTATAGTAGAAATGACATCTGCACTTATATGTTCATTGCAGCACTGTTAACAATAGCCAGAATCTGGAAAAAAAACGGAGTGCCCGAGAACAGATGACTGGTTAAAGAAACTTTGGTACATCTACACAATAGAATACTATGCAGCTGTTAGAAAAGATGAAGTCATAAAGCTTGCATGTAGGTGGATCAACATGGAAAGTATCATGCTAAGTGAAATGATTCAGAAAGAGAGAGACAGACACAGAAAGATTGCACTCATTTGTGGAATATAAAGTAACAGAATGGGAGACTGACACCCAAAAATAGTAGAGATAAGTACCAGGAGGATTACTCCACAGCTTAGAAGCCAGCCTCACATGCTGGGGCAGCTCAGATGGAGAAGGGACCACTAAGTAAAGGGTACTAGGAGGGCCCACTCAGGATGGGAGATGCGGACTGAAAGTAAAGTATAGACCGAACATAATGGCCACTTAATACCTCACTACAAACCACAACACCCAAAAGGAGAGAGAGAGAGAGAGAGAGAGAGAGAGAGAGGGAGAGAGAGAGAGAAAGTAAATGCCCTGCCACAGAGGCAAGGTGGGGTGGAGGGGACGGGATGAGGGTGGTGGGAGGGATGCTTGGGACCATTGGTGGAAAATGGGCACTGTTGGAGGGATGGGTCCTCGATCATTGTATGACTTAAATGCAAGCACGAAAGTTTGTGAGTCTGTAACTGTACCTCACGGTGATTCACCGATAATAAAAAAAATTTAGAGAACTGACTGAATCCAACAATATGTCAAAAAGAACAATTAACATGATCAAGTGGAATTCATCCTAGAAATTCACATGGTTCAACATGAATTTTTATACAACATAATACACCATGTAATACACCATATCAATGAAAGGGAAAACAAAAAATCATATAATCTTATAAATTGATTTAAAGAATTGATAATATTCAGCATCCATTATTATGGTATGGGAGTTCAAAATATTTCATGCCTGAAACTCTGTTGTCAGCAACTTTGTCGATTATGGTGTCAAAAATTTTTTAAAATTAAAAAATATATACAAAATAGGGATAGAAGGAAGCTTCCTCAAGAATGGCCATTACAGCACAATACACAATGACTAAGCACTGAAAACTCTCTCTCTGAGAAAGAATGTGAACTTTCTCCACTATGATTCACCACAGAAATCAGGCAAGAAGAAGAAATCAAGGGATCCAACTAGAAAATGAGAGGCTATACTGTCACTCTTTGCATACAACATGATAGTATACATAGAAGATTCTTAAAGTTACCACTAAAAACTTTTAGAAAAAATAAATCAGTATAGTAAAATAAAGGTAAAGGTAAAGGCCCTCCCGTTGATCGTCGATTTGCTCGAGCGGGCCCAGTAACGTCTCCATTGGAGACTTTATTGTTACTGTGTCTGGCATATCGAATACTCTCGGTAGCTTGCCGGGCTCTCCGAGAGGGGCGGAGGAATCGAACTCGGGTCGGCCATGTTGGCCGCGTGTAAGGCAAACGCCCTACCCGCTGTGCTATCGCTCCAGCCCATATCAGGGTACAAAACCAATAGACAAAATTAGTTACAATTCTATAACAAATATCTAGAAGATAAATAAATAGAAATGGTTTCTATATTCAAAACAGTGTTAAATATTATAAGATACCTTGGAATAAACGTGATTTCACTTATTTTATACTATCTCAAAAGTCACTTAATTCACGTAAAACATCCTAATACTTTCAAAGGACTTTGTGATTTTTAAGCAGTGTCATTTCAGTTGTTAGTGACTAAGAGATTTTTTAAAGACTGTGATAACTTTCTGATTCAGCCCAAGAAATAGGAAGTTAATAAATTTTCATAGCAGAAAAGTATACTTTTATGGACTGCATCTTGTATACTTCCTGACACTGCTCCTGAGGGATTGTACAGGGCACGGGACTGAGCATCAATTTCCCATGGGATTTCTGAGGGTGCTCATGCTGAGGCTATCTGGGAAATAATCAGAACAAGTTCCCTATAGCACAGGGACCAGAACACCAGGTTTATTGCTGATATAATGAAGAGAAATCCTCCTTATCTGCAGCCTTGCTGCAGGTGGGGTCCAGAAATGCATGCTGTAGCAGAGGTAGGCCATCTGTATATGCGACTGCTATCATGTTCACTGCTTACAGAGGGAGAGCCTCTGACAGCTTAAGCAGATTTTTACATTCATTTCCAATGATGCAGTGCATTGAAGGAGACAATAGGTCATTGGTGATGGTGACCAAGGGAGATACTGACAAGAAGGTAAGTAAATCAGGTTGAAAACAATCTAGATGAAGCACCAATGTTGCAACAGTAAACATGCCCAAGGTGTCGTTAGATCTATGAATGAAAATAAAACTTGCTTTTTACTTTTGAACTATCAGGACCAACTAGTGAAGAAAATACCTTAGTACTTGATAATAAAAGTATAATGAAACCTCACACCTGCACTGTTTGGGGAGGATGATGTGAATCTAAAATCTCTTCTGCCCAAAAGGTGTCTCAAGAAAGTCTATGGGAGTTACGACAAAGGGCTTAGAAAAGAGGTAATAGACGAGAGTAGACAAAAGGGGGAGGATCCCTACAGATGGGTATGTCTGGAAAATATTTTGTTTTTATTTTCTTATTTCTTTATATTTTACTACTGTCTTCTGTATTACTCATTCTCCACTGAAAGCTTCTCACTAGAGTTTTCATCGAGGGAATGGCTTTTTCTTTAATATCTCAGGATTTTCCTCATGTCCTAGCTCATGTCTTCCGCAATCTAGATGTTTCTCCCCTGAGTTTTATTTATCTTTTGCAATGCTCTACATAAATCTTGATTTTAATTAAATTTTGAAAATTGTTATAGAATATTACACTGGCATTTTTCTCTGTATAGACAGTTCCCCAGTGAGCTTTGATATGTTGTAAAGCTTTCATGTTTAATCTTCCTTCCTTCCTTCCTTCCTTCCTTCCTTCCTTCCTTCCTTCCTTCCTTCCTTCCTTCCTTCCACATTGGAGTTACTAATGCAGGCTCAAAAAAATTATAGGTAATGTGTGGATACAAAATGCTAAAGTGATGCTGTGGAAAAATAATAAAAGTTTGTAGGCAAAATTTTGTGGTTATAGCCAGAGAGGTAATACAATGGGTAGGATGCTTGTTATGCAAGTGACTGACTCGGGTTTGATCCCTGGTACCACATTATGGCCCTTTGAGCACAGCCAGACATGATCTCTGACCAGAAACAAACCCTGAACACAGCTGGTTGTGACCAAACATCTCAAAACAAAACAAAGCAAAACAAAAACCACCAAAATTGTGGGGCTTTGGTGCAAAGTCATTTTACCTTTGGAAAGACCGGTGAAATTCCACGTTATGTGTGTGGAATTGTGTTGAAATTTACTATTCAGAGACAGAGAGAAAATTCACCAAATTACAATCACCTGGTTTATTAGGTCTCAGTTTCTCTCTTACCGTCAGGTATCTTATCACATTTAGGAATGATTTAATTTTCTGTTTCACTAATTTTATAATAACATGTTTCACCAGTGGGAACCCCATTACCTCTGTTAAGCCTGTGACTGGGAAAATAGATTTAATTTTGAGTACATATTTTGAAGTTTGCTTAATAAACATTGCTGAATACATTCTCTGATTCAGTATTTTTCAGTAACAAAGGTGATATATGTTTTGCCATCTGCATGACCTACTCCATGGTGTAGGTGCCACACATGGGAAAGGCACAGGATTTTCATGCTCCTAAAATCATTAATGTCAGTTCCTGCTATATGCATCCATGGATTGATCTTTATGGGTTACAGAATACAGATTCTTATTTTTTTATCTTCCAAACATCTGAACATTTGAACTTCCATTATCTTTCTGCTAACTTTGAGCCGTAATTCCTCTTTCACCTCATGTTTAAAATTCATTGATTCCCATAACCCTGAATTTATATAAAGGACTACTACAGGTTAGACATTGTTCAACAGTTTCTCTAGCTATGTACTCTATGTCATTGGGCAAGATTCTCAACTACACTTATACTTAAGGCATAAGAACACTTCCTTTGAGGTCCCTATCTGCTCTGTATCTGATGTGTGTGTGCCCGCATGTGTGCATGTGTGCGCGTGCACATGTGTGCATGCGTGCATGTGTGTGTGTATGTGTGTAGTCAGTTTTTAGATATTGGAGACCAGAGATGATAATTTCTTCATTGTCACTATAAATAGCTGAAGATTTACCCTTACACATCTTTAGTAAATAAATTGTTAGATACTGATCTCTGTCATGATGAATAATATGAATGTTGTCTTAAGAATATTCACTCTTGGATTTGATATTTCATATGAAGTGGAAGTTGGTTTTGAAGGTGAAAATGGCTTTACTGAAATTGAATGGTAGAGACCCCTAATCAAAATAACATATTTCTATTTGGCAAGTCTGTCTATACCTCTAGCTTTATACAGATTGAAAAGAGTCTGAGTTTCAGGATTACCATTGTATTATTTACTTAGTATAGTCATAGATCCAGAATTGGTACTGAGTATCTTTGGAATGAAAGAATGAATGATGGTCTCTGCTTCCCTGAGAACATAGCTGAGGAAAAGAACAACTGTAACTAAAGACTTATTTTGAGACATGACATAATACAAGGAAATAAAATGATAAATTATTAATAACAATTATTTTATTCTTCCTCCTCTATGGTTTATAGAATGCCACATTCACCACCATTTAGAGTGAAATATATTTAGAAAAATAATAATAGAACTCAAAACCATCAGCTTTCTCTGACTTCGGGGCTCATGGCAAGAGAAAACCAGACCAACAGCTTTGAGTTTCTCCTCTGGGGACTGTCAGAGCGGCCAGAGCAGCAGCACATCCTCTTCCTCGTGTTCCTGTGGATGTATGTGGTCACAGTGGCAGGCAACCTGCTCATCGTCCTGGCCATTTTCACTGATGCTCGTCTCCATACACCCATGTACTACTTTCTTGCCAGCCTGTCCTGTGCAGACATTCTTTTTACCTCCAGCACTGTGCCCAAGGCCCTGGTGAACATCCAGACCCAGACTAGGTCCATCTCCTATGCAGGATGCATGGTCCAACTCTACTTCTTCTTGACTTTTGGGGATATGGACATTTTCCTCTTGGCCACAATGGCCTATGACCGCTATGTGGCCATCTGCCACCCTCTCCACTACACAATGATCATGAGCCCCCAGCGCTGCACCATCTTAATTACTGTCTGCTGGAGCCTTACTAACTTTGTGGCCATGACCCACACCTTTCTCATGTTTCGACTCTCCTTCTGCCCTAACAAAATCATTCCTGATTTTTTCTGTGATCTGGGTCCCCTGATGAAGGTGTCTTGCTCTGACACTCAGGTCAATGAGCTGGTTCTCCTTTTCTTGGGGGGAGCAGTTATATTAGTTCCTTTTGTACTGGTCCTGATCTCTTACATTCGCATTGTTGCAGCTATCCTCAGGGTGCCCTCTGCCCAGGGGAGGCGCAAAGCCTTCTCTACCTGTGGATCCCATCTTGCTGTTGTTGCTTTGTTCTTTGGGACAGTGATCAGGGCTTATCTGTGTCCCTCATCTTCCACAAACTCAGTAGAAGAGGATACAGCAGCTGCTGTCATGTACACAGTTGTGACTCCCCTTTTAAATCCCTTCATCTACAGCCTAAGGAACAAGGATATGAAGGGAGCCTTGGGGAGACTTTTCAGGGGCAAAATCTTCTTTATGAAGGATCAGTAACTTCTAAGAGATTGAAAGTGTTCTCTGCTGTCTAGCATAAAACTTTATAGAATTTTCTACCTCAGGCATCTCATTTTTAAATCCCACAGGGATATTATTATCACTCTGTTTCCTGAATTTCACTATGAGTTCTGTCACTGTCACTGTCACTGTCCTCCCGTTGTTCATTGATTTGCTCGAGCGGGTCCAGTAACGTCTCCATTGTGACACTTGTTACTGTGTTAGGCATATCGAATACATCATGGGTACCTTGCCAGGCTTTGCTGTGCGGGCGAGATACTCTCAGTAGCTTGCTGGGCTCTCCGAGAGGACTGGAGGAATCGAACCTGGGTTGGCCAGGTTGGCCGCATGCAAGGCAAACGACCTACCTGCTGTGCTATAGCTCCAATCCATGAGTTCTGTATTGATGAGAAAATAAAAATTTTCCACCATGCTACATAATTATTCTAAGAGTTTCTTATTCATTCATATTTGTCAAATAACTTTACAAGGAAAAATGTTTTTTCACAATGTTCATTAATTTACAAGTCACAGATTTTATATTTCTTATGAAATAAAAAGTTATGGTTTATCAGTATACAGATAAATGACAAACTTAAAAAGCTTCAATATTTTTTTCTTATATACATTTCTTATGTACATAAAAGTATTCCCGGTCTTACATTTTAGCTACACAACTATCCAGGCTACTTTTCTTCACTTTACTACCTAGAGCGATCCTTAGAGTGGTTCCTAATAATGGCCCAAGATGACTATTAAATGTTTGTTAATACAACTTTACTTCAACCATTAGGAAAAGAGAAAGAGATTAACTGAGGAAAAAATTTCCCACGAGGAACAAGATTTGCAAGAAATTTCACATATCTTTTAACGATACATGCTCTTGGCCTGAATTTGATCACTGGCATAAGCTGGCTGCAATTAAGTTTGAGAATATACTCATTATACCCAGTGCACATAAGTTGAGCTAATATTGTATTACTATGGAAGAGGTAAACTTTTATTAAGAGAAAACTTGTATTTCTGCAATGGAGTGCCATGAGAGCAGTTAGAAGCCCAACTAACATTGAGAGGACAAAATCAAGTGACTTCATGGACACTTAGCCACTCTATTAATCCTCAAGTTTCTTGGAATACAAACTAAAGAATTTCTTCTTAAAGATTATAGAGGTTACTCATTGATCTGGCACGCAATTAGAGGTGCTGATGATAACTGTGTTATCATCTATAACTGTGAGGGGATATCCTCTTCCTTTTTCCTTTTCCAGGTGAGTACCCAAGACAACAGAAGGTGGGATGTGTATAACTTTTGACTCAACTTATTAATACCAGTCCCCAATATGGCAGCAATATCCCTCAGAGCATGAGTTCAAAGTTCAAACTAATTTTATATCCAGCTATAAACAGAATAAAATACACTTTACCAGATGATTGTGGTTCAGTGGCATAACACATGCTTCACATGTGTGATCCCAAGCATGTACATATATATGACACCTCAACAACATGTGTTTAAAACTATGTGTTTAAAACATGAGTTTAAAATGTAGGCCCATTTATACATTTTTGATAAACAAACGATATAAAGATAACTCAGTAAATCCAGTACAGTAATCTAAATATATTTTCCCTAAAATTTTCAAAACAATATTTTTCTTAGTTATTTTATTACAAGCATACTGATGTAACATAACAAAAAATGTGTTAAGTGCTCATATTATCTGTAAGGCTGTGGGTCAGCAGCAAGCTTTTAGAAGAAAATCCGGGGAAAGTCAAAAGTTACGCATGCATAACATTTTTTTATCTATTTTTTTAATTGAGTTACCGTGAGTTACAATTACAAAGCTTTCATATTTGAGTTTCAATCATACATTGGTCAAACATCCATCCCTCCACCAGTGTATATTTTCCACCCCCAATGTCCCCAGTATCCTCTTCTCCCGTCCCACCCCTCCACCTCCCTCAATGGCAGACAATCTCCCTCTATCTCTCTACTGATGGGCATTATGGTTTGCAATACACATAATTAGAGGTCATTATTTTTGGTCCTTTACCTACTTTCATCACACATATCCCATCCCGAATGATCCCTCTACCATCTTTGACTTAGTGATCCCTTCTCTATTCCAGCTGCCTTCTCCCCCAGCTCATAAGGCAGGCTTCCAACTGTTGAACAATCTTCCTGACCCTTGTCTCCACTGTCCTTGGGTATTAGTCTCATATTATATTTTCTATTCCACCAATGATTGCAGTTATTCTATGTCTGTCCCCCTCTTTCTGACACATTTTACTTAGCATGATACTCTCCATGTCCATCCTCTTATAAGCAAATTTCATATGCATTCACTCTTAACTCTGCAGTGCCAGTATCCCAAATCCCAGACTCTTAAATACACAACCTATACTTCATGAATATAATTATTTTTGAATAGAAAGAGTTTATAACTTGATCACTTGACTTCCCGTTAATCATCGATTTGCTCGAGCAGGCGCCAGTAACGTCTCCATTTGTCCCTGTCGCATGCTAGTGTAGCCCAATGGTGTCTGTTCGCTCTAGGAACACAAAGAGCCTCAAACTGATCGTTCATGGTCTTGATGAAGAAGTCTGCCCATCTGGTAGGTGGGTGGCCATGCGGTCTTTTGACATCCCGTGGAATCCAGTCAGTAACAGCTCTAGTCCAGCAGTAGTCTCTAAATCTCATTATGTGACCAGCCCATCTGATTTTTGACACCTTGGCAAACGAGACAGCGTCCCTGATTCTTGATGGTCGACAGAGGTTGGAACTCCAGATTCTTTCTCTCATTTGAATAAAACGTGATATTCCAAGCATAGCTCTTTCAATTCCTCTTTGGGAGACCCAAATAGCGTTCTCATCCTGTTTGCTTAGGGCCCAGGTCTCTGAAGCATATGTTAATGCAGGAAGAACAGTGGAATCAAAGAGATGTGCCCAGAGCCAGAGGTTCTTCGTCCTCTTAGCTATTTCTTCAACGATCTTGAAGGCGTTCCAAGCCGCTCTCTTCCTCCTGCGCAGCTCAGGTGCCAGGTCATTTGTCATGTTGACCTCTCGACCTAGGTACACATAGCTGTTGCATTCAGAGATGGTTGTTCCGTTGAGAGCGAATGGGGCATCAGGAAAGAGGTTGTTTCTCATAAACATTGTCGCCGTAAGATTCAGCTGTAGTCCTACCTTTCCACACTCATGGTCAAAGTCAGCCAGCATTTGTGCCGCTTGGCTAATGTTTGGTGTTATTAAAACAATGTCATCAGCAAAGCGGAGGTGGTGTAGTAGCCAACCATCTATCTTCACTCCCATTCCTTTCCATTCCAGTCGTCGCATGATGTTCTCAAGAGTGGCACTGAAGAGTTTCGGTGAAATGGTATCACCCTGCCGAACATCAACGATTACTTCTTTGTAGAATGGTGAGATCCTGGTAGTGAATCCGTAGTACAGCTCACGAAGGATCTTGATGTATTGAGTTTGAATGCCCTGATTGGCTAGGGCTTCAATGACCACTTTCATCTCAACAGAATCAAAGGCCTTCTTTAAATCAATGAACGGGGTTTTCTCCCCTGATCTGCACGACAGGCACGGAGGCCCAGCTCTGGGCAACAAAGCTGAATGGCTCCAATTCCAACCAGGTACAGCCCGCCCCCAAGGGCCTGGCACCCTCTCTGGGCATGTGCAGCTAGATCCATCTCCTAGAAAGCCGGTTTTCTCCCCTGATCTGCGCGGGATGGGTACAGAGGCCCAACTCTAGACAACAAAGCTGAACGGCTCCAATTCCAACCAGGCACAGCCCGCCCCCAAGGGCCTGGGACCCTCTCTGGGCATGTGCAGCTAGATCCATCTCCTAGAAAGCCGGTTTTCTCCCTTGATCTGCACGGGACAGGCACGGAGGCCCAGCTCTGGGCAACAAAGCTGAACGGCTCCAATTCCAACCAGGAGACGTTCCCAACTCCTCGCCCAGTGCCAGGGACTCTTTCAGGAGCCGTGGCCGCTAATGCGGCTGCGAAATATTTTCCCACTACATATGCCATAGGAACCATAAGCTACCTTCATAGATGGAAACTTCTCTAGTTTAGCTCAGCCACTAGAAACACAGTAGCCAATAACTCATAAGCCTATCTTAACTCACACTGTATATCAAGCAGAATAGTAACAGTGAACGTGAAGGACTAAACCACACTTGTCGCAATGGTAAAGCAACGCAAAAGCCCACCAAACTTTCTTATTGAAGAGTCTAGCCCAGATGACACCAACAGTACTGTAGTGTTAGACAACCTCTCTGACAAGGAATTCAGAAGGGAGTTACTTAGGATGCTTAGGGAACTAAAAGAAACAATGGAAAGCAATGCCAATAGAAGACAAGAGGATTTGAAGGCAGAAATGAGGAAAATGCAATCGGAAATGTCAGACCTGAAAAATCTCGTAGGCGAATTGAAAAACTCAGTGGAAGGCCTCAGCAGCAGAGTAAGAGCTGCTGAGAACAGAATCAGTGAGCTCGAAGATGAAGTTCAGAGACTCTCCAGAAAAGAGCAGAAAATGGAAAAGAGACTCACAATTCGGGAACAGATGGCAAGAGAAGATCATGACAAAGCCAAGAGGGGTAACATAAGAATTATTGGAGTCCCAGAGGGGCAGGAAGAAAACCTTGATGAAGAAGAAACTGTCAAAGACATCATTGGACAACGTTTCCAGAGCTGAAGAAAACTTGTGACCACATTCAGGAGGCCCGAGGGGTACCAGCTAGAAGAAATCCGAATAAAAATACCCCAAGACACATTCTGATCAAAATGACCAAAACCTTAGACAGAGACAAAATTCTGAAAGCAACAAGATCGAAGAAAGAAATCTCTTACAAAGGAGCATCCTTAAAATTCACAGCTGATTTTTCTGATGAAACCCTCATGACCCGAAAACAGTGGTGGGACATAGTGAAAAAACTCAATGAAATAAATGCCTCACCAAAAATGCTTTACCAAGCGAGATTCTCATTCA